CAGAAAAACCAAAATGAGCCTCGAGCGTGATTCAATAAAAAGCTACCTAGCCAAATGGTTCATTCTGGTGGCAGATTGCAAGCCTATCAGATGTACTGAGTTCTTTGGCAAGTACCCAGCATGAAGGCTTATGATGTAATTACCAAACCGTTAAAAACAATAAACAATTCAGACGGATTCATTCATTCTAAAAAGGTAAATATCTGCAGAGAAAAAAAGGTTTTCAAGCCGAGTTCAAGGTAAAGCTATGATTGATGTGTTGATTATACATCAATATATTTTCCAACGTAACTATAGATGCGCCACATAATAGAAAATGAAGGGCTACAACCAACAATGATCTTAATAATGTTTTAATCTGACAATAACCTTTACCATTTATCTTTGACTATTAAAAAGACATCACAGTTTCTCACAGCCCAAGGTGAGATCTGCAAATAGCTCCAAACACATTTAATGTACCATGAACAACAGAGAAAAGCAGTTAAGCTTCCTTTAGGATTGATTATTCAAATAGTTGGTGTTATTTTACTGTCGCACAACAAATCAAATAATCATTAATCATCTCAACTATAGGCAAAGTAAACGCATGCTAAATCCCATTAACAACTGGAAAACTTCTTTACCTCGTGGTTTTGAAATACGACTTGTTAAGAAACATTCATTTTGATATTGCTTATTGTAAAGCAATACGAACATTATAGAACAACCATGTTGTCATCATTCCGTTGAAGGTTGCCGATCAGTAAGGAAATCAAATGATCTCAAAGCTATGCTACAAGATATCTATGCATTTCTTAGAGCAATTCATACAATGTTTATTAACCTGCACTGGCCTTGCTTATCCATTATCTCATAGACTGGTGGCACAATTATTGATTTTCTGTTTTGCAATTAAAACCGACTCTTAAAAATACAGAATTCAATCCACACTTGTAACACAATGAACTATGAAACAACGTCCCCATGTCTGACATCCATACACTTTTTGTTGCCTTCCCTATTGCTCCTATACCGAGTCCGACCACCTTTGGCTAATCTGTAACTGAAATGTCGCCGCCTCTGTCTACATGTCACCAAGTTGCCCCCTCTCAGATGAAGAGTACCGCTCCTGGCTACCCCTTTATTGTTTGAGTCAGACCAAAACAAATCCGAGGCAGAGTCATGAACGGCCTCACAGTATGATGCGCGGTACAGAGCATTACACTTAAGTGATTTCTAGCACTTGAGACAGCCATCCGAAGGGTTTTCATTTCACCTTGTAAATGGTCGACTATAGGAATCCTGGCGCTGCATGCTTCAAAATAATGCAGCCAAACGTATACATTCCTCTGTGCACATTCAATATGAAACGCAACACATTTCCTAGGCGCCAATCTAATGGTCACATTAAAGCAATTAAATACACGTTAACAGATCTTTCCTTACATGTTCCATCACGTGAAGAGAGAGACCATTCATTGTGACATATGGAGCAAAAATGCAGTTACAAATCACCCTTGCATAGAAGATCACTTTCCTTTTAGTATTCCTCCCATGCCTCCTGCTGTGCATAAATACTTAGTTAGTAGGCCGTCATATTTCAATTAATAAAAAGGAAAAATCTAAATAAAAGATGGTTGGCATGAAGGTCTGAGGATTATCCTTAGTGTATTGAGTTTACCAAATGCACAAAAAAAAAACATCAAACGTTGTTTTATTGAATTGGTAACTTCAAAACAATACATCTCAAAACCTCCAAAAATAAACCAAAAATACTTCATAACCAGGAGGCACTAGACTAAAAACCTTTAGGTCAGATATAGTTGTTTTGCGAGACGAATCAGCTCATTTAAAAAAAAAATCCTCATGATTATCTTTAAAAAGATCTTTACTCCAAATGCAGACCAGACAAAGTCATGAACAATGATATTGGAGAAACAGATTGAAATATTCTAACAGTCGGAGAGAACATGTTTCCATGGTTGTAAACCTGACTGACTTGAGGGGGCTTGAAAGGATATTAGTTAAGTATGTGACAACAAAACAGATGTATTGAAGTCCTATCTGAGCTGTGAGAATCAATGATCGTCTGATATACCATATATTGCATAATATGTATTAAATATTAAAAACACAACATGCTTATAGTGCCACGCCCCACCTGAGCCACAGGGTGGTCGTAAAGACATTGCTCATGTTTATAACACAACACTAAACCTTGTATCAGCAAGGGTAAAGAGCAAAGCACATGCAACTGGTTCCCATATGTTCTGCTTCCATTTGTATTACAATGTTAAAAACAACCACTCCTAAGTGTATTGATTGTTATGTACCTGCCTGAGAACTGCAGATGGAAATGAGCCGTTAGCTATAATCTGGCATAATTCATATGTTCTCTTTTCTGAGATGAATGTATTTGTATGCATGGTCCACTTTGAAATAAATACATAATATATTATAGTACAAGTAGCACAGGCCAGATGTGTGCATTGGTCCTTCAACCATATTTTTCTGAAGTGTTGTTTACATCTTTAGAGTTAACAATATGAAATGGATAACCCATGGCAAATAGAATAATAAACCATTTCTCTCTCAACGGATTCATATCAACAGGGTCAGCTTGTGAACAGAGAACAGGTTCTGTGAGGCTTTTCTGTGGCAAAATAAAGTACAGGTGAAATCATTAAGAGCCTGCCTGAGCTCCTGAGGGGGTCTTTAAATGCTCGCGCGTCTCATTTTCCGGGGGCTGTGTGAACCATGGTCCTCTGGAGCTCACAATGATGTCTTTAAAATACAGCTGAGGCGGCTATACCAAAAAGCAAATTGAACACTTTTTCCATAAGCCGCTTTAAACTGTGACAAAAAAAAACACAGGGAGAATGTTACCAGGGACGTCTCAGTAGCTTTTTTTTGTATCTCATCTCATTTTAACAAACCACATTGGATCAAAACCTATTCCATCAAACATGTAGCCATACTGAGATATCTGTGATGATGACTTGTTGCGTTTTTGAAATCTGAACTCAATTGTCATTCTTATGAATATATACGTGCTCGTCATACTATTTAAATAAAGCCATTTAAAATCATTTTCAATTAATTACATGATAACCATCTCATGTATTCAAAAGATGTGAGCTATGGCTTTAGACTACAATAAAAAAAAACGAATCAGATCATAAAGGGGCTAAGAAATAAACCAAATAAAAATGCTGCTATCCGTCGCTGAACCCTGAGGAACACTTATATCCCAAAACCAATTGGTATAACATGTGAACAAGTATGCATGCTGAAAGAAAGAACAATGAGAGCTCACTAAATGTGCACGACACTGTCTTGGATGTACTAATAAAGGAGAGGGATCATGTGAAATTCTTCAGGATCAAATGACTGAACCCCAAAGAAAACAAGAAACACCATCTTGTCACTTTAAGCTCTAAACGCTCCTCTATTCCTACCTTTATGTTTCCGGCTATGACTCACAACACAACTTGAGCCCAATACTGTCGGCTCTTTCCGAGTCGCTGGGCTAAAATAATTACAATATTTCAAGCAGGCAGAATCACTGAAGCTCTAGAAAGGCTTTCAGGATGGAAAAAATAGCGGCTCCGCGGGGGATGAGGAGGCAACACTTGGAAGCCGGTGTGAAGCTGTTTGAGAAAATGCTTTTAACACCTTGCCCAGCACTCAGTTCAACTAATGACCGCCAACTCAAGAATGGAGGAGACCTTTCAAATCAAATTACCCTTTCCGCCTACTGTTTGGTATTTTGAGCCATTATTACAGACACGAGTCATTCGTCATCACAAAATAAAACACATGTAATAGCAGTATGAATCATTTATGTATTGTGTTATGTGTGCCAATAAAAAGGAATAATATTTCATTACATCAATCAAAAAAAAGTAAAACTACTTACGTTGAATTTGACATAATTCATTTGAACCTCCCGCTTCCTAAATACGACATAATATCCAAGGAAATGTAAAAGGTATGTACATTTGACATTACCAAAATGCCTTCAGTGCTTATTTACTGCCTACAGTTAGCAATCAAACAGGTTTTGAAATTAAACTAAGATTGAATGCACTTTAAAGTTACTTTAAACTGTGGATTTTCTCCGGAAGTTTTTCCTTGTACGATGTGAGGGTCTAAGGACAGAGGGTGTCGTATTGTCATACTGATATTCTGTACAAACTGTGAAGTCCACTGAGACAAATGTAACATTTGTGATATTGGGCTATATAAATAAACATTGATTGATTGATTGATTGATTGATTGATTGATTGATTGATTGATTGATTGAGTCAGTTGGGAATATCATTAGGTAGCAGTGCATCTTGTCCATCACAGTTGGTTCTAAAGTGCGCAAGACACTTTGCTGCATAACCAAATATGAATTTGATTATGGTGGGGGGGGATTGAGCGCAAAAGCGACGGCTGGCTCCCGGCCAAAGAGGCTGAACAAACCAAACGACAAATGTAAAAAGCTGCAGCCAAAATCTACCAGCATTTGGCTCATGGCATTGGCGGGCAGTCATTTCAAGCCTGTTTGAGCATTTACGAAAGCTTTTCAAACAGTCTGTGTGTTCTAGCTCATCAAGTTCAGCCATATCTGCCTGTGCGATGAGAATACTGTGGCCAAGGTAATACAAATGTTCTGTAGTACAAGAACCTAAACCATTGCTCCCAATAATAACACAGCGGGTAACGCATTCAGCACCCAGAGCTGCACAAAAGGGAAGTAAAGAAGAGGGAACGTGTAACTAACTGTTCAGTGTGTCAGACAACAAGCTCTGTAACACCCATGGGTATTGGGTATCACAACAGAATGCAGAAGAAGTGAAGAATGTCGGAGCACCTGTTTTGAGTGTGATACTACTAGTGTTGAAAACAAATGAAAAGGAAACTATTAAAATTCTTCCTCTCCTAATCACTCATAAGAAGAAAAAGAAAATAGGATCCAACATTCAGTTTGGAATACTAGATATACAAAACATTGTAAATTAGTCCATACCTGTGTCTGTGCTCATCATGTGCCCCTTGTCCATGAATGACCACCTGTCCAGAGGCGTGCTTTCCCTCTTTGGGCGAGTCAATATGAGGGATGAGCACATCCTCCAAACCCAAGTCGAAGCGCTTGTGCTTGGAGTTGTCCGGTAAGAAGAAGAAGGCCCCGAAGCATAAGGTGATGAAGGCACTGAGAATGAGGAGGAGGATGAACTTCTCGGAGAGCCTCAGCGTGGCCCTGTGGTGCGGGAAAGAGGAGGCTCCCGGAGACAGAGTGGGTATCCTGCGGCCCGACAGAGGCAGGAGAGCTGGTGTCGTCATGGTTCAACTGTTGACTTGATCTTAGCTTGGGGAGGGGTTAGGGGGGACAGGGTGGGTTTACAAGTGCCACAGGTGTTGTTGTTGTAGCAGCATGCACGAGCTGGATGACTTTATTATCTCATCCCGGTAATAATAAGTCCAGAAACCAAAAAGGGCGAAGGTCCCTCAGTGAAGGAGTGACAGGTCCAAGGGAAAAGGGTCATGACGATTCTGAAAAGAAGAACATTACAGGCACAACATTAGCATTGCAGAGTTGGTTAGTAAACGTTATGTCATAAAAACCCATATACTGAGTAGTTACCAGAGACTCGACACCATTTTAAAGACATCTGATCTTTTCCTTCCTTCATCTTAACAACACTGCCTTAACGCATTCAGGATTATGTCAGAATAGCTAATTCCCTTTTTATGCTTTCCTATAGTTGTTATGTATCCACCTTCACGGCATCATGCCCCTTATAACCACTAGTATCATCTCTCCAGGCAATCTCTGACGTTGTCCTGTTGAGCCTTTCAACGCTAAGTAACAAGCAAATATTTGGTGACAAATCATGAATAGGTTTTTTATTCAGCGATAGCTTAAAGTGTATAAATGCACAATCTACTCACATTATGTTGTGAACTTATTAGCATAGTCTTCTGAAACAACACCAGATTATCTCTCACACATTCAGATACACTAAATCCTTTGTCCATGAGAAAAGTGACAAACATATTATCCAGGGACTTAAGGTATCAAGAGATGCGATATCTATGAGACCATCACAAACAACTGCCTTCACTTAAACTGCGCATACTGCCATCTCTGCCAGGACACATTGCAGAATGAGCCCCCAGCTTTCTATGTTGCTGTTTTATTGCATTGCAGCGCCATATAGCTTGCTATCAGACATAGATCGTGATAAAATTACAAAGAATGACAGAGATGAAGAGCAACATCGCAAATCCTCTTGCCATCCGTACACACCGGAGACGACTGGAATCATAATTTCTATTTGTGTGGCAGCGACAAGGGCAAGACATGCAAGCTAAATACACTGCATGCATGTGCTGTATTATATCTAAACTCAAATTCATCCAGCAAATACCCATGTGGGTGTATTTTCGAAAAGGCGCAGGCTGCCTTTACTCCCCCTGGTCCCCCATGACCGTATATGCAGAAATAGACAGCAACTGCTTTAATTGCTAGTATGAAGGATGGATGAATGGATAGATGGATGGAAATAAAGCCCCTTTAAACACCAACATAAGGGGTCGTAGTTATGCCCAAATGATCGAGGTAGATGACGTTAAAATATATGGGAGCCTTTTTCCTCCTTATCCAGGTAGTTTTCCATCGGGTCTGTATAGAGCACCACACAGAATACCAAGTTCATCCTCACAGTGCCAGTCTGTGTGAGGTGATTAGCCGATACTAAAATAAATGCTACATAGCTAACAAGCGGCTAACTCAGTCAGCTAACGGTGGCAAGCAGAAAACACGAACAGCGGGGAATAAACTGACCGGCAACACGGAGGAAAAATCATGCATACTAATAAAAGTATTCCTCCATATGTGCATGGACTCGCTGACATTTTAACTAACCTGTGAAATGTTTATTTATAGCCCGCATATAGCTATTGGGCTATGTTGCTAATGCTAGCTAGCTGGTAATCAACTGACAGTCTCTTGTGTAGCTGCTGCATCACCACCTTTCTCATTTGCTCGGTGAAAAACGAGGATTCCCGGTCCGTCTTTTGGAAGAATAAGTCCCTGTTTGCAGGTGTCCTCAAGTCCACACTCGTCCTCGTCGTGGTAAAGTCTGCTCCAGTTTGAACAGTCGGTTTAGAGCCACATAGCGGTACACAGCTCCGGGGACACCGAGAGGATGATGATTGTGTAGCCGCTCTGTGGGACTGCAGCGACGGACTGAGCTGCTGCCCTGAGATCCAGCAACAACTACTCAGCCTGCACAGTTAGGCACCGTCTGACAATGTCCTAGGCAGAGTTTATGTTTATTATGATTTTAAACATGTCAACGTTAAAAAACAAGTCACACACCCCCAACACATCCAGGATTCTGTCAGGATAGCTGATTCCCTTTTTATGCTTTATTGTAGTTGTTATTTTTCCACCTTCACGGCATCATGCCCCTTATAACCACCAGTATCATCTATCCAGGCAATCTCTGACATTATCCTGTTGAGCCTTTCAATGTTAAGTTACAGGCAAACATTTGGTTACAAATCATGAATAGGTTGTTTATCAAGCGAAAGGTTAAAGTGTGTAATACACAATCTACTCACATTATATTGTGAATTTATAAGCATTTCTTCTGAAACAACACCAGATTATCTCTCACACATTCAGATACAAAACACTAAATCCTTTGTCCGTGAGAAAATTACAAAAATATTATTAAGGTATCAAGAGCGATATGAGACCATCACAAACAACTTCACACACATCCAAAATGTAGTGCTTCCCCTTAAATCAGTGATGTGCATATATTAAGTTGAATTGATGGACCTCAGAATAATCATTTAATGTATATTAAAATGATCATCAAGTCAGATCTTGTATTTTTAATGTGTGCATGTTTTGCATCCATTGTAAATAATTAACTCCATCGTTTAGACTGCTAGATTACATTGTATTAAAACAAGAGGAGCTTGATTGGGCTTTTTTTTATTGCTTCTCAATAACAATGTTAAGGATTTAACTTTTTTTTCTGTTGTTGTTTTTTGGAATGCAGCGATTGTTCTTTGTGTTATACAATGTATGTATGCTAAAGACTGTATTTTATGGAGTTACAATTGTAGATAGAAACATTACGGAATGCATTGAAAATGTTTCTTAAAATAAAAAAAGTTGGTGTTTGATGTTGATAGTGAAAAACTTAGCAAGAACAAAACAGGACAGCTAAAAATAGAGGTCTGTTTATAATTGTAAGGCAATCAAGCATATCTCAGCATCACACTTGTAGAGATTTTTTATGGAACAACTGATAAGACATCTTCCTGTTCTGTCCTTACCTTCTGAGATCTACAAGGAATACTAACTACTAACTAACTACAACTAAACACAAGATTATGCATCCTGACTATGAGATGCAATTTGTTTAGCCAGGATGAAATTATATTTTATTAGTTGGTTAAACAGGTAGTGTCCTTGAGCCTTTTAATATAAAACAAATGTTTGCGCATGAAAACAGAAATTGTATAATAAAGTATAAACATAAGAAAAAAAGCACTATTCAAAGCACATTCACACACAATAGACGAGTCTATTTACTTGTATGATGTCCTCTGTGGCTCCTACAGGGTTATTGTGATGTTATCAGGTGTATCTCAGCTGAGGGCTCGCATTCTTCAAATTCACAACATAAAACATATTTTATAATAGGTGCTATAAAGATGTTTGTGTCGACTAAGGTTGCTTTTCAATGACAAGATCAAATTGCATTGTGGGAAATGTAGGCTCCAGTCTTTTCCGTGCTTAGGGACTTAAAGTCAAATTATCCCTGCTCTTGCAATAATTATTATTTTGGATTTATTGAGTCACCTAATTTGATGGATATGTAATACAAAACCATTTCAGTTAACCCTTAAGTTAAAATGTAAAGATAACAACAAATTCAAGATGTTGGCTCATTTGCCTTCATTTGACATGGGTGTAGTGCCGAGAGAAGGGAGTCGGAGGCGGTGCATCGAAGGTGCAAAGTTGGCTTTATTAAGCAGGAGAAAAGCACATGTGGTCGGCTTGAAGACCGGGAAGCCAAGAGAAAGAAGAAAGGGGGGCACACAATAAGTAGTCAACAACATATGTGTCCGTGTGGAAAAAATACCCCAACCCGTAGTTGCATGAGTGAATTATGTAACCTATAGTTAATTAGTGATCACTACATGGGACAGTTTAGAAATAGGGGTTGATGACAGAGGGGTGATGAAATGCAGCAAACGTCCCGATCAAACATTGACGTTGCAGATATATTGCATGAGCTGCCAGGCACTCAAGAATTCTTGAATAAGCATAGTTACGTGCAGCAGTGCACTTATCTATTCATGAAACGGCCTGGATATATACATAAACGGTTGCCGCACAAAATTGAAAAATCGTATCAAATGCACTCTCCTTTATCAAATGCAGCCGGGGCTGTGTTGCCAGGAAGGACACAGTTTATCCTATCAGTCTCCGACAGAGTATGCAGAGAACTTTCTTCGGCTTTGGCACTGACAGCGAGTGCTTCGTCTTCTCTATCAGAAGAAAGACACCGCTAAATGTGAGACACTTTTCTTTCAGGAGTGTTTCTTCAATTCTCAGAGCAGTTTTCCCTTCGCCCCGGCCAAAAACACACTCCCAGGTTAAAGCTTGCTCGGCTTTCTCTGCAAGTGAAGGCGGTAATTTGTTAGAAACCACAGAGATGACACTTCTCCTGCTGCTGAATATGGCTTTCCTGTGGGTGATTTAGGTGAGGGCCACAAACCTGGCTGAACCACAAAGTCTGAAGACAAGCCAGTGACAAAGGTGACCAGAATTTGTTCCACTGTGGTGAGCTTTAAAACACTGAAATTCAGCCTTCTGCACCGAGTGAACGATGTGGAACACAAGGCAACCACGTAAACATACAACCCACCATTTCAACATAAGTACGTATTATACAGAGATGAAGGATTGAAAGCATGAACAGCTTTGCAAGTCTTGGGCAAGGTTAAGTGGGTGTGTATGAAAGAAAAAAATACTGTGATACATTCTTAACAGTTTTCACAGTGAGTATTTCTTTGGTAGAAAAAAATTGTGAAAAATGAATTATCAAGAGTAGCTGGGAGACTGTTTCTGGTGTTGCTATTTAATTTTTCAGTAAAACATCTCAAGGGATGGACGGATTGCCATGAATTTCAATAGACACATTAATGGATGAATGTATGCATTATTCCTATTGACACTTTTGAAGGCTACCATGTTGTACCCATGATTCATAAAGACCATGCTGATCCTCTGATATTTCATCTAGCTTCTTCATCTTTTAAATGAGAATGTATTAATCTTTCAATCAAAATGTGTCATCACTTCTCTCATCCAATTTACATGAGTAGTAGCTGGAGTCTGCTTCAATTTAAGTAGGCTATGCATCAACATGCGAAAGCGCAGATATAATCACTTTTCACTCTGAAATAGTTTTCCCAACAATATGATGTATTAGCTTAAAAGTTGTATTTGTCCAGTGCTTTGGTTTATAACATAATACCTACAGGCATAATGGCATTACCACCAACTAACAAACATCAACCTGCTTACACTGTTAGCTTGTGAACTTAGTAAACAATAAACTTTAGCTTCTGAAGTTTGCATGCTGAGGTTAGCATTTAACTCAAATCATTGCTGTGCCCACGGACCAGCAGCATAACAGGCTGGTGAACTTCTTTTCATATCCAGTTACTTTCATTCTCAGGCTTGCCTCCCA